GGCTGTGAGACTCTTAAAGTTTGTAAAACATCTTATAGTATGATGACGTTTAGTTTGTGATCTTGGAGATGAACAAGAAAGGAAACATTGTGGTTTAACAGAGATGTACTTGTGTGTCAAGCTGACAAAAGGTCAGTTGTGCTGGCTCCTTTTATGTCCACTTGACTCAACTAAAGTGGCCTGAGAGAAGGGAACTTCGGTTGAGAAAACACCTTCATAAGATGGAGCTGTAGGGAAGCCTGTAGGGCGTTTTCTTAGTGATCCACAGAGCAGGGCCCAGCTCACTGTGGGTGGGGCCACCCTGGGCTGGTGGTCCTGGGTTCTATAAGCGAGCCGTCTGAGCAAGCCATGAGGAGCAAGCGAGTGAGCAGCATCCTCCATGTCCTCAGCACCGGCTCCGGCCTCCGGTTTCCAGCCCAGTGCGAGTTCCCGCCTTGGCTTCCCTCAGTGAACCATGATTCTAGATATGTAAGCCAAACAAAGCCTTTCCTCCCCAAGTTGCTTTTTCTTGTGTTTTGTCACAGCGATAGTAACCCTAACTAGGACTAAGAAAAACAATTAAGACCCTCAAAAACGCAGTAGTGGGGGTGGGGACTGGAGAGACAGCTCAGAGGTTAACAGCGCTTGTTACTCTTCCAGAGGACCTGGGTTTGAGTCCAAGTGCCCAGCTGGCAGCTCGCAACAGTAATTCCAGTTCCAATGGGTTTGGCACAGTCTGCTGGCGTACACATGGTTCACACATATATGCAACTATAAATACCCACACACTTAAATAGTAAAAAATGAAAATACGCTGGGGGAAGCACCATTACAGGTGGGTTACAGGTGGTATGGGGGGTCTATTATAGGCCTCAGATGCTGTCTCATGACCTTTGAATTGGTGGAGTCCGGGGGTCAGTGAGTCCCAAAGGATTTGTCTAACAGCCACATGGATTAATATTACACAGCAGTGGACAATTAAGGGGACCAAAGATAATTTGGCTCCCAACCTTAACATTCCGACTCCGTACTCAGCTAGTCAGACAAGTAGCATGTTTAGCACAGGTAAGGCCCTGTTGCCCAACCCCCCAAACATCAGTTCATATTAGATGGTGAGCAACCAGCCTTGTTGGCTGCTTAGACGTGAATGAAAATTGCATACGATAAAACATCTGCTCTGAGCACCCACACATTTGAAGTGTCCAGGGAACACACGGCTTGAAGTTCCCGCAGACCTAGGCATTTCCTTTATCTGAGCAAGTTCATGGACTCCGTGTTAGAGCTGGCCGGGTCTACAGCGCTCACTCCCCGCCCCGCCTGCACCCGGTTTGCTCCCCCACCCTCATTTGCCTAAAGAGAGACTACCAGACACAGGCCTGCTCACCCTTATGTCCTGCCCAGAGCCATTTGCTTTGCTATCCCAGAGTTGAGCTGCAGACTCGAATATGGCCTCTGTCTGGCCCTCTCAGAATGCTTATCTTGAGCCTGGCTCTGAATCAGGCGTGTCTGTGAGGACCGGAGACAGTGTCGCACCCACGCTGCCTTATGGGGACCCCACAGGATTTGCGGGTGCTGGCCTCTTGGCAAGTCTGAGAGGGCCAGTTCAAAATGGGTCACAGCAGGGAGCACAGTAGGCAGAGTGTGTGGACAGGGAGTGCGCACATTAACGTGTGTCAGATGGATTGAAGAAGCCTTCCCTGGGGCAGTGACAGGCAGGCTAAGGTGCCACCGGGCTGTGTCTTTTAGCCCCTGGAAGAGGGAGGATGGGGCACACAATGATAAGGGTCCTCCCAGAAAGAGGTCGTGAGCACTTCAGCGAGAGCAGGGACAGAATGGCCCCCATCCCCACTCTGCCCCTCAGATGGATTTGTCTCTGATGGATTTTGCTGTTTCCAGTGCGGGTCACCGGAGAAGCCCAGACTCCAGACCATGGAAAACCTACACCTAAGAGTGTGAGGGCAACCAGGACACGCCACCCACCCATCCCAAACAGCAGCCTTATTTACAGAGGCTGGCCCCCGGGACTTATCTACAAATCCCCCAGATACTGGTGGGTACCCTTTCTGGGACCACGGATGCGACCTGCCATCATGGCGGTGAAGGCGCAGAGGCAGGGGCACGGGACAGCTAGCCACATTGCATCCAAGAGAGACGGGCACTGGCGTTTAGTTCATTTCCTTCTCTCCAGTCCAGGCCTCCACCTCAGGGAACGGGGCTACCCGCATTTAGAGTGATTCTTGCTTCTTCAGTGAAGGCTTTTCTGGAGACACCCTCACAGACATATCCAGAGATGCGTTTCCATGGCGATTCTCAATCCAGTCAAGTTGACGAAATTAACCGTCACAACCATGAAGACGGGGAAACCCACCCAGACCTGTGGTCACCAGAGACGCTAAACAGACCTGGAAAAGCCAGTGCCCATACAATACAGCCTGGACACTTGGTTTGCAGAGATTGCTGTATGCACATGCGGTAAATGAGTGTGTGCATCACAGCGAGGCTTTGCTGGCAGGAGGACCTGGAACCCAGCCCTGGAAACACAACCGTTATCTGCATGTCATCGGGGAGACGCTTTCGTTAGAAAACGCACACATACTGATGGAGGGGAGTGAGGCGAGAAGAGACTCCCTCTGGTCAATGACGTGTTTTCTCACCTGGCTCACGTGAGGGAGCACTCCCTAAAGGGGGAGAGAATTCCCCTGGCTCTTTCATTGACTTCCTGTCATGGACCAGGAGCAGGCATGGTCCTCAAGCTTCCTGAGACTTCAATGGCTGGAACCCTGGCCAGATGTGCTGTAGGGCTCACCCGGTGTGCCGGGGAAGAAGGGAAGGACACCTTTACCTGTGCTGCTGCTGCAGGTCAAGCTGACAACGTAGGAGGACTGAACAGGATGGGAGGTCAGAGCTGTGGAGGACCAGTTTGTTGGGAATTTGTCATTGATACGGATATCCCCTAGGAATGATGGCGGGGGCCGTGAGCAAGTGGAGGGAGAGTTCCTCTCCTGCTCAGATACAAAACAAGTGATTCCCAGGTACCTCAAATCAAAAGGCACTGTGGGATGTGCAATCGCTTTAGGTTTCCCTTGAACTGTGTGAAAAGTTAAAGACTTTTCCTGGACCCACAGTAAATGCTACAGGGATCCATTGGTTGCAGGGATACACGCTACTCAGAAGTGTTGAGTGTGTGTGGCAGGGTGAAGGGGAGTGAAAACTTGGCCTGTGGATAAATCTACAAGACTATGAAGTGCAGAAACTAATACTCTCTTGGTATTTAAAATATATGCATTGTGCCAGGTGTTGGTGGTGCATGCCTTTAATCCCAGCACTCGGGAGGCAGAGGCAGGTGGATCTCTGTGAGTTCGAGACCAGCTTGGTCTACAAGAGCTACTTCCAGGAAAGCCTCCAAAGCCACAGAGAGACCCTGTCTTGAAACCCCGCCTCCCCCAAAAATATACATGCATTGCTGAAATGTGAGAAAATGGTGCAAATCTGTTATTAAATGGAGTCAAGCATTCTGTTTGCACATATCTTTCATTACGTCGTTAATTATGTATTTTATTGTCATGTTGAAGGTTGGGTTAGATTATAGTGAGTCAGGGATGCACATTATATTCTCGAACATAACATTCAAAATAGTGATGAAATATATAATTAACAGTGTAATGACGGGAAATGGGATAAAATGCTTGCCTTATCAAAGTGAGATGAATGAGGGGACAATTTAGGTGTGCACATGACAAGCAGCGGAACAAACACAGCCAGGGTGGGATCACATCAAATATAAATGGTCTGGACATTCCTGTTTTAAGCCAAAAGGCCCCGTATAGCACTTAAAAATATACATCATAAATATGTTACAGAGGGTGACAGATAATGGGAAATGAGAGAGAGAGAGAGAGAGAGAGAGAGACGAGAGAGAGAGAGAGAGGGAGGGAGAGAGAGGGAGGGAGGGAGGGAGGAAGGGAGGGAGGGAGAGAGGGAGGAAGGAGAGAGAGAGGAAGAGAGAGAGAGGAAGAGAGAGAGAGAGAGAGAGAGAGAGAGAGAGAGAGAGAGAGAATACAGGAATATGGTTGGATCATAGGTGCAGGACAAGATGAAACCCCACAGACAAAGGATGGATACTGTGTAGCAAAAAAGGCTTAAGTCCACCCAGGAGATAAAACACACTGACTGTTATGGGCCTTGTCAAACTGGAGGAACTGAGGAGTGAGCTTCTCTGTGAACTCTGACACCCCTGTATTGGTGACAGATAGACAAGCAATCGGTACCTGAGCTATGTGATTAATAAACTGTGCAGTTGACTCTGTCGGATAGTGTATCCAACTGCAGAACTCACCGTTCATGCTCCAAGTGGGACAATCTGCCACGTGTGTCCATGAAGTGAATATCAAAAAAAGTCCTGCAATCATATTTTTCAAAATCTTCCCCAGACTGTGGCTTGTGACAAGAGGTCCCTCCAGCTGTAGTACTCATCTAGGGTAGCAGCGCCAACTGCCCACAGTGTCTGTATAACTGTGTGACACTTTCTCCTTGTGGGAGTGATGTCCCAAACAGGTCCAGGGCCAGTGAAGGCTTCTCGCCCCTGGAGGCGCATCTCACACAGACTTACCTGCTCGCCCCTGGAGGCGCATCTCACACAGACTTACCTGCAGCCTCTTGCATTTTGCCAGCTGATACTGATATCTTTGCTTTTGCCCAGGAATTTACTTTTCTAACTACATTTGAATGTTCCCAAGAGGAGCAGCTGCACATCTCTACAGCTCTCAGAGGTTGCCTGAGAACCACCAAGTCTTTAATGACACCAAGACGCAACGTTTGCATTGGTTTGGGCGTCATTGCGGAGAGGAGACTGTGAGGTCAAAGGGCTCTCTCCTTTTGAAGACAGCTAGGATCTAGGATCTGGGGTGATTAGAGTGTGGGCTGCGGAAAGGGAGGAGAGTCTGCTGGGCATCTTATAAACAGGGCAGAGCCCTGCAAAACGTGTACCCTTTAACACCTAAATAACTCAGCGCAGGCTTACGTGGAGAAAAACAATTTTCTTTTATGAATGGATAACAATGAGTGTGTGCATTCCCTAAGGTGGCGTGGAGCTCGCCGGTGGCTCTATGCCTCTCTAATGAGCTCAGGAGCGTCTGTACCACGCTGGTCTCCTGGGCTTGGTCCTCTTCTCCTCCTAAAAGATGCTTTCTGTTGGAAAGAGGAGATTTTCCTGAGAAGCTGTGTGTGCCCGTCATTCCTGCTGCTCCACACCTCATGGCTCGTGGGCAAGGTTGAGAGCAAACAGCCCAAGCTTTCCAAGTGTGTGGTCAGTTAATTATAGGAAAGAATTGTTGGGCAGGCAGGGTTTCCACTTGCAGCATCAGATTTACACTCTTCTAGGAGTCACTATGAGGATCTCGGGGACATAGAGTGACCAGAGGGCCATCCATCCTCCCTGCCTGCCACTCAGCTATCCTTGGCTGGTAATGAGATTGAGCCCCCCCCCATAGGTTATGGCCCCTACACGGGAAGGAAGTACCTTCTTGACAGAAACCTGTGACTTTGAGGTCCTGTGCTACCCTTTAACAAGGATGATGTTTACGGAGCCGGAGAAAGGCCTGTAGGAGGCTTTGAGATTATGATGGAATGGGCTAGGGGAAACATCAAGTACCTCCAAAGCTGTTGCAAATTCCAAATGAGCCCCAGAGACACTGGTATAAGGGACAGGGCTCTACAAGCCCAGTGGACACTGACCAAGGCCTTGGCAGTCTGTGGGTTTGCGCAGTTGGTCAAAGTGCCTTTGGGTATCTACCTCATCGCCTTCTTCCGGTTATTAGCAGATGTGGCCTTGTCCCAGGCACAGGCAGATGGGTCCTGAGAGTTACCCTGGATCCAGGCTCTGCCTCATGCCTTGCGGCATCATTAAACTCCATCTTGACACCCAGGAGGGAGCTGAAGTCACACCACATTGAGTACCCAGAGCTACAACTTGGGGCTTGGACCCCTGGCCAAGATCTATGTTAGGTCCTCATTAGGATTCAAACCCAGGCTGAGCCCATTTCAGAGCCTATGCTCCTGCTGAGAAATCATTCCCACTATCAAGAATTCCTCTCAGTCCACATGAGAGGTGGGAAAGAGGCAGAGTCAGGCGGGTGAGGTAGGATGGGGCTCTGCCATGTGAGGGTGAGGGGTGGAAGAGCTCCCTCCCAAACGGAGGTCTCCTCCCAAGTGAGGAGAAGGCCCAGCAGATGTCCTGGACACGAATGGTGCAGGCCCTCATGCATGGTGCTTTGGATCACGGTGTGGGTGACAATCACTTTGAAGTCTGGGGAAGGGAGAATGACTTGACCTAGGATCCCTCAATTTGAACTGATGCGGTCAAATGCCCCTGCAAAACTCCCGCTCACCCAAGAGCTGCCAGGAAGAGCCTCAGGGGCAAGCGGCATGCTTCCTTCACCTCAACCCACAGGGGCCTGCAGATGGGGGCCACTTGCCTGTTAGTTCCAGGTTGCCTTCAGATCTTCCTATGTTTTGAAGGATTCTGTCCAGAACAGACACTTTCCCATATTTATCATTTCTTGAACTCTTCTTTTCTGTGAGAAAAATACACTGTGATCAAACTTTGAGAAAGCAGCACGGCCTGGTGCCTTTCTCTAACTTCGGGAATAACTCAGGCTGAGTAAGTATTCAGTTCACTAGTAGAGCCCAGCGTTAGCAAAGCCCTAGATTTGGTCTGTAGCAACATGAAAACAATTAAAAGAAAATCCAACCTCTAAGACCCTGAGAGAAAAATGAGAAGAACCACAGTGGTAAAAGAACTGAGTCTGTGATCAGCAATGGAACCCCTGGAAACAGGGTCTTTGCAGATATACGAGGATGGGGTGAAGGCTTAGAGGAAATGCTTGGTCCTACCCTAATGTGACCATGGAAAATCTGAACACAGGAACATATGGAGAATGTTGAGTGGAGACAGAGGAAACATCAAGTGACATGTGCAAAGACGGAACACGGAGAATGTCCAGGGGGACAACCAGCCCCACCCAGTCTTGCATCTCAGACTTCGGGCTCTTAGAATTTCTATGATTTAAACCACACGGTATGTGGTGATTTGTTAGGAATACCCAAGGACACAGGCATGATAGATCAGTCAGCCATGTTGCAGGTGACAAATCTAATATTTGATTAAAATGTGGAACACAGATCAATCTCCCAAGGGCCTGGTGGCCTCCAGTGTGGACAGGACTTCACATGGTCCCTAACATGGTTGGTGGCTCCAACTTCAGTGACATGACAGAGCCTGTCACCAAGGTGACTCTGAAAGATGGCTTCCCAGACCTCATGGATACCCTGGATCTCAGGGGTTCAAGAATTGGATGAGGGCACCCCCACTTTCTTTGGGTTCAGGTCACAGTAGAAATTCATGCTGTGACCACAGGCCATCAGTGCCTGCATTTTTTAAAAATGTGGAACAACTTATGTTTTATGAGCCGTTCCTGGGTAGAATCAGTTTGGAAGCTGGCAGGTGGAGCTGGGGGAAACCACCGCCCTGGGTCCCAGGGAGAGGATGGCTTGTCTCTGGCTGGGTTTCCTGAACTGAGTCCTTCTGTTCCTGTTTATACTGGAGTCGCCCTCGGTGACCACGGAGGAAAGTTTTCCCTCCTGTGTTCAGTCCACATGCTGGGATCTGCTGTCTTCTCCCGATAAGCTGTTTCCTGATTGTTCCAACAAGGCTGTGTGCACCTCACAGGCACACCGATGGCCCACGAACGACATACAGGTGTCCTGGAATAGGGTGGAGCTATGGGCAAAGGCATCGGGACCATTGGAACCATTGGGACCGTTGTCCCTCCTTCATGCCGGTGAGTTTAGGAGTCCTTCTTGGCTTGTCAGGTTCTTGCAGAGATGTCTCTGCCTGACGTTTAGCCAACTAGCTCCTGGAGCTCTGTATGCCCCTCAGTGTGAATGCTCATTCATTCATTCATTCAGTTTGTCAACTACACCCGTGCCGTGTCAGGGACTCAAGCAGCAGGGATGGGCTTCCAGCTCCCATAGGAGACCATTCCCACAATGGACACTCTCACCCCAGGGTAGCAGGCGGTGACAGGAAGCATGAACAGCATCACTCCTATACCCAGGAATCCAGGGGCCCTGCGTTCCCCCTGACAGCTCTCTTAATTTTTAGGAGCAAGCTAAATTAGGAGCTGCCTTACTGCTTCCATTTAGCTTTTTCTAAAAATTACAAGGAGTGACTCAGGCTGTGGGAGACAGGGGAGCCACAGTGATCGCCAGCACTGGGTCCAAGGAAGGCTCCAGATAGAACTGAAGGCTCTTTGGCCCTCTTCCATGAAGGAGGGTGTGGACTACAAGGTCAATTTCCTGCCAATTTTAACGCTACCTCCCACCTCTGGTGTCACTGGGGATGTGTCAGCCCTGTGGGCTTCTTCTGTCATTTCAGTCCTACGTGAAAAGCAGCCATCCCCTAGGCTACCCAAAGCACCCAACAGTCTGGCATTCCATCGCTTGTAGGCGCACCACCGAGCCTCTGGAGGAAAGCCATGGTTTTGGAAGTGGAAAGTCTTGTCTTAGGTCAGAGGGAAAGAACAGCAAGCCATCTGCCCCCAGTTTCTGCAGAAGTGGGGTCCCTGGATGCCAGTGGTACCCAGGTCCAAAGATGCTCACGTGGCACTGTGTGTAACCTGGTGATTCTCTTGACACTTGCAAGCACATCTAGATGGTTTATAAGCACTAATACATTATGAATGTTATGATAATACTTGGCTGTATTGATGAGGCAGTCAGGACAAGTTTGGTACAGAGAACATTTGGTTGTGGGGGGATGTAGTTTTGATCCCCAGTTGGTTGGATCCTTTAACATGGTGCCTGAGACCCAAGGATGAGGAAAACATTATTAATAAAACCGTGGCTGAGAACCAAGGGGCGATCTCGCCTAGCTACACTGCCATGGCTGTCACCAAGGCAACTTTGTGCTGGTGCTTTAATGGGGGATTGTTGTTAGGCGATGTTCTCATTCTCTTTGCTCATCATTGTCCGTCCTCGTGTCTATGCTGTCTTCGCTCATCCCTGCTCCTGCATCCCGCTTTCCCATCCCTCCTCCACCGCTGACAAAGCTTCTGGGTGATGGACCCTCTTCCTCAGGTCACACTTAGAGACCACACTTCAGCTGGACTGTCATTCTAAGTCAGCCACCACGCTTTCTTCACTGCTCTACCTTGATCTTTTATGTCTCCAGTTCCTTTCTCACGGGGATGAGCAATTTCCAACATTTTCATGCAATCGTTTAATGCTGTAACTTTTCATGCGAGCGCTGATTGCTCTCCCACAAATTTCAGCACGTGTTTTCATTTTTATTCAATTAAAAATATCCCCAAATTCCTCTTTTGACTCCTTTACACAGTGGGTCATTGAGAAGTGTGGTGTGTAAATTAGCAAATACTTAGACAATTTCATGTCTCTCTGCATCGTTGTTTATGTCTGTCGTGCCCAGAGAATGTTTTTGGTATGTTTTTAATTCTCCTAAATTGTTTGGTGATAGTTTCATGGCTGAAATGCCACATGTGCTGGTGACTGTCCCACATGCAGCTGTGACTAAAGCCAGAGAAAAAATTGAGGATTATCGATGTTTGGGTTTGTTACTCTGTATTTGTTGGATTTCGCCATTTCTCCTCCTCCTCCTCCTCACCTCCTTCCTCTTTGTCCTCCTCCTCTTTTTCCTAGTCATTTTCCTCTCCCCTCCCCCTCATCGTTTTTTCAATCATTCAATTTAATCTCCTCTGCTTACTTGCTATACACACCTTGAACCATTAGCGCTGGACTTGGCCTTCAAGGATACATCACTAACTCACTCCCATTTGCCTTATGCTCCTACAGAACAGAGTGTGTTGTAATCACAAACTCCAGTCCTGAGTTGTGCACCATCATCACGAGAGCAGTGGTCCTTGTTGTCCTGAGCAGGGGACAAACACGTGCCTGCAGAAAGCTCGTTTGTGAGTTTTCAGGGCTTTCTGAAGTTGCTCAATAGCTGGAAGAGCACCCCAGCTCTGAACATGCAAGTTAATCCTGTGATCACCAAATCCCGCTTCTGGGTTCTTCATGATCACGAACTGTAGAGAGTTTCCTCGGGTGTGATGCTCCTTGTACAATATGAGTGCCACGCACTGAGTATCCGTTCCAGCTGCCTGGACCATTTCCAGAGCTGTCTTCCTTGAGCCTTCAGCCACTGAGGTCTTTAAGCCCTGAGGTTTTCTCTCTAGCTCCAGCTCCTTGTCCATCATGGGGCAGCTTCCGTACGCTCCAGGCAGTGCTGGCAAAAGCCTCCTTTCCACATCACCCTTCCGCAGTTCTGATCCCCGTGCCCTATAACCCGTGGTGGTGTCTTTGCCAGTAGCTTCTGTCTACCGATGTGTTTCCTTTGGAGAATTGCATATTCAAGCCCTTCGCCAGTCTTGCTTTGGGCAGTTTGCTTATGCTATGCTTTTTTCTCTGAATGGTCTAGAAGGTACCCGTTAAGTTATGAATAAGGAAGAAGATTATTTAGTCTAGAGCAGCACTGGTCCCTGTGAGAGCAGCATGGTAAGTGGGATAGCAGACTGGAGAAGACAGAATTGTCTGAGTCCACTTATCTAGACACCCTCATAGACACACAGTGTAGAGCGATGGTTCCGAGGGATGGGGAACCAGGGAGTTATTATTTAGTGGATAAAGCTGAAAAGAACTATGGAGATAGTAGTGGTGCTGGGTGTGCGTTATAAAGTATGCATTCTACTGAACTGCACAGTTGAAATGATTGTGATGTCAAATTCCACTATATATGCATTTTTAATGAAGAAAAAAGCAAGAGAATTAAAATGTTGAAGAATGAACAAAAAAATGTAACAGGCAAACTAAAACAACCATAAAGTAGAGCAAACAAGCCTTCTGTCGGGGAAATTCGGTCCCTAAAGCTTTAAATGTGAAACAAGGTCTTTTTAGTACTGTAAGCTGATGTCATAATGAATATAAAACATCCATAAAAGTCTATGCGTCAAATGGCAGGTACCATCCTCAGGAAGTAAAGTCTACAGAAGTGCGTCCAGACTTCTGCAGAATTAAACTGTAACAGGGTAACAATGTAACACTCTCGATGGGACATTCAATGGGTAAAACAGGAGAGCAGAGAAGAAAATAGTGCGGCCACAAGTGGAAGTCACAGGCATGCGTTGAGCCCCTGAGGCATGGTGACGCGAGGGTATATCGGGGAATATTAAGCTACGCAAGGTGCACAGGGAAGGGATGTCATATGATATTTTATTAGGGAGAAGCCACTTACATGAGAAGACGAGAAACTAAGGTCAGTGCTCTACTGCTCCCCGAGACCCAACTGGAACCCAAAGAGAGAGCACACCTCCTTTCTCCCAGCTCTTTATCTCCTGTCCCTACTACATACCTGTGACCACGCCCAAATGGGTGTGGTCAGTGATACAGGTACCTAAGATCTCTCCCTACAAGGGAATAGAATCAACACCCCAAAATCCTGAACACTGGGGAAAGCAGCCAATGAGACAAACCACTTAGAAAAGCGGTTAAGTGTGCAAAATAAAAAGTGCAAAAAATAAATGAGCCACACAGTGTGGTGCACACTTTTAATCCTAGCACTCAGAAGGCAGAGGCAGGCAGATCTCTGTGAGTTTGAGGCCAGTCTGGTCTACAGATTGGACTCTAGGACAGCCAAGACTACACAGAGAATGAACCAAATGAATGAATGAATTAAATGTCCATGAGGCACTCGGAAGACCTTACAAACACAGGTGAAAAGTTAGAGACAATGGATAATTTTTCAAGGAAATTCAGATGGCCAAGAATAACACTTGATATAAACAAGAAGATAATCAACCAACCAAAAAGGGGCAAGAGATACGGACAAATTTTCACTAGAGAAAACTTTAAAATGCTGGCTAATGTCTGGAGATTCACTGATAGCCAGGGAAATGCACATTTGAAAAGGTAACAGTGAATTTAGTCTCATTTTTTATTGCAGTCCCAACAACAATAATTTGGGATTATTCTTTTTGACTTGTGGAATTCCTGTGAGAACAAAAAGGCGCATGGTGATGAAAGGTTTTGTAGGTTTATTATTATTATTATTATGAAATAAATGACCCACCCATAAGATATGTGTCAGTGTGTGGTGTCAGGGAGTAAAGCGTATCAAAGGCTGCCTACTGTGTTTTTAACACTTTAGGAATCTGAGATGGAGAGGCTATCAAGAAATAGGAAAGAAGACTGCAGTGCCCGCCCCCTGTATCTGTAACATGATTCAACTTTAATTTTAAATTAATTATTACATATTTTGATATTTTAAACATGTATATACACAGATAATTATTTGAAAAAAATGAAAAAGAGTAACACTTGAACTAAGAAATAAATCTATCTAAAGGTAATAAAGTCATCAGGGAGATACCTCAGAAGACAGTGCCAGAGTAAGCCAATTGAATGGGATTTTTTTAATGCTCTATAAATTTCCCCAGAGAGTCAAACACAAATTAAATAAGTAAATAGTAAACAATAAGGTTATAAAAAGGAGAAAAATCTTCATTCTTCACTATAAAACAGTGTTGTCCTGATACTACAACCTGATACGGAACTTAAGAGCCCACAAACTAATGTCATTTGTTCATCTAGACTCAGAAATACGGATAAATTATTGGCAAGACAAATTCAATACTATTCTAAGAACATGGACAAGTGTAGCTTATTCAAGGAATGCAAGGTTGGTATGATAAAAGCAAAATTATTAACAAGTGAAAGTCAGATACAGTGGTCAGTTTGGAAGACCCCCTCCTTTAAATAGAAACAAAGGAGATTGAATACTTAGCAATAAACTTAACATGCAAACCCAAAACCTATACAAGGAAAACCCAGAAGCATGCCCTTAATATATGAAATCAGACTAGAGAACTATAAAGACATCACTTGTTTTTGTAAAGAACGACAACATCGCAAAGGGTCAATTCTTTCCTAAGTGATTTCCTAAGAGGTCATACAATAATAAGAAACATACCAGCTGTCTTAAAAAAGGAAATTAGACTTAAAAATTGAAGAATAATCAGGGAAAAGGGGAGAGAGGAGTGTACCTCAGAAACAGGAATACACCATAATGAAACCCTATGGCACCAACATACTAGTGTGCTATACAAGACAGAAAAAAGCAGCCCACACGCGGGCTTGGTGTATTTTGAGTGTGGATCTGCAAATTACGGGGACAAGATGGTCTTTGAGTAAGTCATGCTCTAACACATATGTAGCCATATGGAAAGAGAGATGAAATTAAGAGCATGTTACTCAGAGGTAGATTCCAAAGCAGTCAGGGACCACATGGGACCAATGAAGTGACAGACAGCAAAGGAAGCAGCACCTTCTCTTTAGTGCTGGCTCTGGCGAACGCTATATTAAAAATGACAAGAGATTATCTATTATGAGTACACAAAAATGGTAGGTTTTCTGCATGAAAAAATATGAACACCGTCAACAGTAAACTGACCAGGGCTGCGGAGATGGCTGGGCAGTTAGGAGCCATCAATCACTGCTCCTGCAGAGGACCCAGGTTCAGCTCCTAGCACATACATCTTGGCACACATCACAGTTCCAGTGAACACATGCCCTCTTCCAGACTCCAGGGGCTCCCACACACATGTGGCATACACTCATGCAGGCAAAACACACACATACATGGATAAAGCAAATCTTAAAAATAAAGTCAACTGACAAATTTGAAAAAAAAATCATTTACAAGGAGTATCACAGACTGGGTTTGTTTACACATTTGTCATTGTTTAAAAAAAAAGTCACACTTCAAAACTGAAGAGGGAAAAAACCCTCAATAAATTAACAAAAATGAGACAATAATATGGACAGATTTACAAAAACAATAGGTGAGTGGCCTTTAAATATGAGACAAAAAAAAGTCATTCCTGACTAGAGAATTGTAAATGAAAGCAACCTTGAAACGGCACCCCCACCCTGAGTTATGTTCTTACCGTTAAAAGAGTAGTGTGGCTCAAGCTTGGTCTGAGAACTGTGCTCATGGATGTTCTCGGCGGTACTTCTGTCTTTAATGAAGAACATGAGAAAAAACATGACACACCGGTAGACACTGGGGAGCACTCGCTTTTAAATCTTGGTTGAAATGCTACCACTGCTTCTGAGTTTGCTCTGAAAATGGGTTAAGAAGCCACTATGTGAAGAGTACATTCCCTCCTCCCTCTTTTGACTCCTCCATCCCTGGCTAAGGGTTGGTCCCTCAGATACATTTCCAACATATGAAAATCCCGAAGCTTCAGACTGTTCACCATAACCATATCTGTTTGCAAATACTGAGACTGAAAGTGCCCTCCCTACAGAGGCCAGGGGTTGTGTGATCTGTGGGGAAAAAGGCGGAGGGACAGAAATGACAGAATGGGGACCAAGACGCATGTGTGCGTCACCAGGCCTCCAGGCTTGGCTTGCTGAGCAACGCCACCCTACCTGGCCTTGGTCTTTTAGGGCGAGTTATCAAGCAAAAGGGAGCTAGGCAGGGTCAGGGAGGCACCAGATAAGCCCCAGGCATCTTGGGGGTTAGCAATGAACATGGGAATGACTCCCAAGGCCAATTAAGGAAGATGAGGTCAGTACAGAAAGAAACGACTGGAGTATCAGCTATCGTTGGTACCCAGCATAGTGACTGTGAGTAAACAGGGAAACCAAGAAGAAGCTGCTGTTGCTTAGGTCATAACCCTAATTACTGAATGATACTAAGTAAACGAAGAATTACTGTTCGGCAAACACTGTGCCAAACCATCAGGCAATTTGTACAAACCTGTGAGTGGGACCAGCTCGGGAATGTTAAAGAGTCATTTTTACGTAGAATCCTGCTTGTGTTTATACCATGAAACTACTGCTTAGATCCAGATCCACGCCAACACCAGAGGCTGGTCCTGGGAGAGGCCTAAGTGCAGGATCCAGGGCTCAAGCGGAGATGGAGAGTGGGCCCAGGGGTGTGTGCTGATGACCTCCTCTGCCTCATGCCAGAAGCCACCATGCTTTGGAGCCTCGGTCTGATTCTGTGTGTGTTACACTTCACAGTGCTACAGCTAAGTCCTCCACGCTGCACACCTCACAGTGCTACAGCTAAGTCCTCTACGCTGCACACCTCACAGTGCTACAGCTAAGTCCTCCACGCTGCGCAGACTCCTTTCCTAACCTTAATCTAATCTAAGCTTTGTGGCAAAAAAAAAAAAAACATTCTTTCGCCCCTGAGCATCAAACTCCCAGAGCCACTGTGCTCTGCCTCTGTTAGAGGAAGGCTTTTCCTGACTCCCAGGACCATGGAGTCTTGCTATCTCCTTCTGCCACAGAGGGGAGCTGACTTAGCTGGAAGCCTGCAGAGAGGCCTCTTCCACTCCTCACTTCCGCACACCTGGGAGAAGACATCCCTGCTGGTTGTTGAGGGCTGAGTCCAGGGCACGGCTGAGGAGGTGGGGGACCCTCAGCCTCACAGGACAGGGCTACTTAACTTAGGTGGAGCAGCCATCAAAGCACATCTGATGCTGGCTCCCGGTAGTCTCCCAGCTCAGCAGGGGAGACGGGCTAGATCATACTTACCATTGTCACTCTTCTCCTTGTTCGTAGATGAGACTTCTAAATTCTCCAACAATTCATGGTAATTCTCAGAGCCATCTTCTTGGTAGTTTTCATCAATACCAGAATCTTGGATGAAGAAGATGGAAACAGGGAAGGGTTTACTTGTTACAGTCTCGATATTGGGGGGAGTGGTAATCCCTGTTTTACAATGCTGGGCTAGACCAATGCACAATGTTCAAGTCCTAGTTGAAAATGTGTGTTGGGAAATTAATATTTAAATAATCAGGTGTCGTCTAACTACTTTGAGCCCAGTGGTTTGTGTCTAGGTACATGTGAAGTGAGCAAACCCTTAAAATCTAGTCACATCTTAACATAAAAAAAATCCTCCCAGGATGCACTGAGCCCTCCTGCCTCTGAGAGCATTTCCCACAGAGCCTTGGACTTCTTAGCCCAGACCTCTCCTTGCCATTGTCCATCACGCCATCTGTTTGCACAGTTATGCAGTGTGGGGCTGTGCTTAGCAAAGCTACTTAGTCTCTGTTGCACATCTTGGTTTTGGGCATGTCCTATGCTGACCTTGGTTTTACCTCAGTCACATGACATAGCAGAAGGACTGTGCTTCCCAGGGAGCTGTAGGGGAGTGTCATGAGATGGCGTGTGTTAAACTGTAATGACCACGCTCATCCGTAAGCCTGTGTTCCTGCAGTGACTGAACACCGTTTACATGCTAGCCCCTGTGTGACTCAGAGATCCCTTCAGGGTGAAGCAAGCCACCCTGCCTCAGAGGAGACTCCCTCCCTGGTCTCATGCTTCTCTCATGGATCCATAGCTGGTTCAAGCAAATGCTCGAATATAGTCACGTAGTCAACACCCCAGGGCTCTAGCAATGCGTGCCGTTTTGAAGGTGAAAGGGCTGTACTTGCTTTTGTCCTTGGTTTGTATTGTTGTTGCTGTCGGCATTTTTGTTGATGCAGTTTCAGACGTTGCCGTTGTGTTTGGCTCCAAAATCTCTTGGGCTAGAATTTCATCTTGAGAAAGTATATAAGAATATGTTAGAGCCGGGAAGCCAGGGTGCATATCTTCTGCAGAATTTGCACTTCAGGTAGCCTGTCAGTATTGTAGGTAGAAAACGGGAACCCAAGGAACTGGTGGACCCCCTCGAGAACCTCATCTTAGATGGGTTGGTCATTGCCTCCCTGAGTAATTTCAAACAAGTAGGCATCATCTGGATATTTCCTAAGCCTTGTCCCCATATGTTGAATGGCCCCAAATCCTGTTAGTTAGCTTTGCTGTCTGAATGGCCCCAAATCCTGTTTAGTTAGCTTTGCTGTCTGAATGGCCTCACACCCATGTTCTAGTTAGCTTTGCTGTCTCTGTGACCCACTACCCAAGGTGCAACTCAAGGGAGGAAGGAGTAACTTTGCTACCAACTTCAGAGGTTTTGGGTCCATGATGGCGTGCATAAAGCTGCTCACATCATGGCAGCCAGGAAGCAGACTAAAGACCACCAGGAAGGAACTTGGGAAAGAGGCATCCCTTAAATCCCTCCAACTCATCTCTCACCTTCCACAGCAGAATTCCCTCACAGCCCGACAATCGATTCAAATCTGGCATCTCCTAGCAGATTAAACCCGTCACAGCCTCAGTGATCTAACCGTCTCTGGAAATGCCCCCTCACACAACACACAAGGGTGTGCTTCAACAGTCTTCCAGGAGCCCCCTGTAGGAAGCAGCCCTCCAAACAAAACACCTCATGAAGCTGCCGTCTTCATGGGGCCTGCTTGCGAGGAGCCATTGCTTGGGCTTGTTGGCTGTTGACATTTCCTCCTGGAAAGAGGGGGTGGGGAGAGTCCCTGGGCTCTCACCTAAGTATCAGCCGCCCCTCCCATCATGGGCATGCAATTCTGCTCTCATTGCACGTGGAGTCCTGGGGAGGGGCTAAAGGACACAGACAGGGAAAGTACACTGAAGGACGCTGCATCTGGACAGCAGACGCCACCATCCGTGCTGGGTGAAGATTTGCAGTGCTGCTCTAGAGTCACCAGGGGGTGCTGGTGGGAACCCCTCACCCATGCTCCGTAAGCAAACCCACTCAGCTCATTTGCTCCTCAGGGAGAACTTCGGTAGAATAAAGCATTGGTTTGTATTGGAACCGTATGAGTAAGGGTTAGACATTGCCTACCGAGGAAGAGATACTCATAACAGCCTCAATCCAGTCAATCTGGTAGTTAAGATTACCAACAAAAATATCCAAACACCCAAACACAACTCCTTCAAATCATCGTGTTACACCGTTGACCTGCAAAAGCTCATATCTATCCTCATGAGCCCCTGTAATATTTGCAATTTCAACATTTCTGAAGTCCAAGCACAGAGACTCTCCAGAGACTGAAGGCAAGTCTCATCTGTAAGTCTCCACAAAAGGGGAGGCGTTGTTTCCAAATGCAGTGTCACAGAGTACGCGTTCCCTTTCCCAAAGGGGAAAAACGGAACGTAGCAGAACAGCAAAGAAAGAGTGCACCAAAGCAAGATCAAAATATACCAGGAAACACGCTGAGTTCAGTAGATCCCTGTCTGGCATCAGGGCGAGTGGTGTCATGCGAGCTCTTGGGTGGTCCTGTCCCTGTGGCTTGACAGTTTGCAGTCTGCATGGCTCCTTTCTTGTCTATATCCATTGCCTGTGGATGTCACCTTCTCTACTACAGTTTAAATTTTATTATCTCAGGCTTTTCCCCTCTTACAGGGAATTTGGCCCTGCTACATATTCCCCTATCTTCTCCGGCTTTCTTCTGAAATCTGGTCGGAAGCTTCCGTGAAACTGTAGCTCTTATATTCTGTATGTCTACAAAGCCAGTCTCAAGTAGATGAAGTCAATGTAAGCAATAACAGGGCCCACTTGGACCCTAACTACATCAGTGTCTTAGGGCTGGGTGACTGAACACTGTAAAAGAATAGTGGAAAACAACTTCCCAGGCAGCCCCATGGTGAACAGTGTTGCCCTAGGGGCAATTATGTTCTCAAAAGAAAAAAACCAATTCTTCCTCAGCCTGAAAACTTTTCAAGTCTTTCTGCTCTGCTCTTTCTCCAGGTTCTCACGGCAAACCTGTCTAAAAACATCCAGTAGCAGACACACCATAGCCTAAAAGTGAGACTAAGTTACAATTTCCTCTGCTGGGTTAATTAGTTAGCTTTAACTCAGTTTCCCATAAAGCTGCAAGACATGTACAAAAGAGAGACAAGTTCTTGGTGAGAATGTGAGAGACTTCAGTACAATTCCCAATAGAGTCTTCATTTCTATATGAAACTTTGTAATTCTGGTGTCTTAGTTAGGGCTTCTAACTTTGCTGTGATGAAACGCTGTGATCAAAAGTAGCTTGGTGAGGAGAGGGTTTATTTCATTTCCACTTCCACACTGTGCTCCATCACTGAAGGGAGTCAGGACAGGAACTCAAGCAGGGCGGGAACTGGAGGCAGGAGCTGATGCAGAGGCCATGGTGCTGCTTACTGGCTTGCTCAGCCTGCTTTCTTATAAAACCCAGCACCACCAGCCCAGGGGTAGCATCACCCATAGTGGGCTGGCCCTCCCCCATCAATCACTATTTAAGAAAATGCTCTACAGGACTGTGCATACCCTGATCTTATGGAGGCATTTTCTTCATTGAGATTCCCTCCTCTCAGATGACTTTAGCTTGCGTCAAGTTGACATAAAACTAGCCATTACACCCGACCTGCACTGTCCACATTCCCATTGCATTTCTGGCATTCTGAGCTCCCAGCGGAATCACCCTGTCTTGGCAGCAGAATGCTTTTCAGGACCAGGGACAGCGCCAGGGAGCCACCCGGAGTCCATGGGTGACCTGTGTATCCCAGAGTCAGGAACCTGGTCCAGACAGACTGCAGTTAAATTTAGTGTCCTTGCCATATTCTTTGGAATATGGATACTAGAAAGTGTAGTGCATTACCTGCACCCACACTCTGTCTCTGAGGGCCAGTGTTGGTCACATCAATGGTACTCACACCGAAGGGTAAATTTGACTCTGATGTTGGCACTACAACTGCAGACTAGGAGAACCTGACTCAGGCCTCAAAGCAAATCATTTCTCCCAGTGTCTGCAACTGGTTACGGGTTATTTGGGAAAGGTCCCATTCTCTTAGCACATCCCAGGTTCTGTGTGGGGAATCCTTACCAAACACTTCTGGCATGTCTTCAGTTGTTGAATTGAGTGAGTCTTCAGTAACCGGACCTGGGAGTAGATAGGGAGAGGATAAAAATCTATAGTTTTACAGTGTTCATTGGTTTTCACCTCCCTCTCTGTGAATAGGAAGTTGTGAGGGATGGTCCCAGCCTGCTCTAGAGGAAGGAGCCTGTGGAGGGTGCTCTCTTTTCCCATGTGTGCTGAGGGAAGCCCTCCAGGACTTGAGTTTCTCATACGGAAGATGGGAAAGGTATTACCCATGGGACTGCTGTGTGGGTGGAACCCATGATCTCCCCAGGTGTCCTGAGTAGAACCTGCCCTCCTGGTCACTGGAGTCACCCTTGTGGATGGTAAGACAGTGTCCACACTCAGGGACAACTCAGCTCTATCTCAGGGGCAAAGAAGGAAGAGGGTCACATGCTTTGTTTTGTAGGAAGCAGCGCTTTGCCTCCTGCATGGCTGGTGATGCCATCTGAGTGGTCACCAGGCCAGGAAACTCCAGCCTGGGATCCCATAGCAGCCCAGAGCCCAGCTTGGCACACAGAAGAAGCACTTGCCCAGCCTCTGACTAAGGCTTTTCCATGTCGCCAGCCAAACACTGTGACAAGAAAACACCTCCTAAGTGTTTTTATCCTAGCCCCTGGGTGACCGTCACACTCACTGGTGCTACCTGAGTTTCTCTCAGGAGGAGGGGAGGGCCAGAGGCTGGTCACCTCATTCCTCCTGTGTGAGGAGAGCCCTCCTGGGTGGTCTGTCTGCTGGTAAGAAGTGGAGTCTCTGATGAGTGAGCTGAAGCGATCTGGATGGCAGTTGTCTCCGGGGCTGTCATATCTGTGACATCTGCTCCATGATGGACAGGAAGAGCTATGCTGGGCTCATAAGGTCTAGCTATATCTGGACACTGTGGGACTTCTGAGGACCAGTTTCTCTTCTGCAGCATCTGGCACACGCTTCCTCCTTCTGACACGACCTTTGTTTATCTCAGGGGCTGTGGTGTCTCTTCATCTGGTACATCGCTTAGTTTGAGCTCAGGGTTGGCCTCTTCTTCCAACTCCCAGGTCCTGGGACCCCCAAAGATGGCAAGTAGGGCCACCATACCTTCCCTTTCTGAGGCACAGAGCTCTGTCTGGGATAACTAAAGTTGCAGCTAAACCAATGACAAAGCTGTTCTCAAAGGCTTTAATGATGGACAATCTGCATCCCAATGTGCTCATCTGCAAGGCTCAGAACAATGGAAAATATGTAAGGAGGTCTGTGATGGTGATGACAATTGCTTCCCTGTGTGCTGACCTTGGTAAATGAAGCAAATACAGTATAGTTCTCTTTGCATGAGACATTAATGGAACATTACGAATGGGTACAGCTGCGCAGCGCCAGCACTTTGTTAAAAATATTCTTTTCATCTTGCGTCTGTCCCGTAATCACAATGGAAGCATTGTGCAAGTCAGCCGTGCGCACATGCGTGGTGTGTATGCTGGTGTTGTCCACGCCTGTTAACGCGCCTTGTCAGATGTAGCTGCTCTACCGTGCTTTTCCTGTTGTCGCCTCCTCCTGAAAGTCGCAGCTTCCAGACAGCACACACCCACAAGGTCAGAACACTCTGAAGTCTTCTCAGTGCCCGAGTCAGCACTTTTTGGCCCCAGGAAGTTCACTGTTGCTTTCGGGGTCCACTAAGGTTAATTGAGTGAACCTGAGCGAGTCCTTCTCCATTACGAGGGTCCTTCCTCTCAGTGGCCAGCACCTCCCTGCGAGGGACCCACACACTATAGCTTGCACAGCTCCTCTCCTTCCAAGCAGTGGGAATTCCACAGGACGGGATTAGTCTACCTGTGTTTCTCTTAGAGCAATGTGACGACTGCCCTTTCGTCGGCCCCTCAACTGAAGAAGACCTTGAGTGCCACATGGGGCTGTGACCAGGTCTCAAGCTGGGAGGGACTTGGGATTCACCCAGAGTTCACCCAGGTGTTATGCTGGCAAAAAACTTCAGGAGTCATCCAGATTAGAACTGGGTCTCAAGCCAGAGGAGACGTTGGATGTCATCAAGGCTTTGACCAGGACTCTGGAGGTCATAGTGGCCAGGCACAGCAGCAGCAGCAGCAGCAGCAGCAGTTCCTCAACAAATGCCTGCTGAGGATTCTCTGGGACAAGCAAGGGCTGGGTTTGGCAGCCACAAACAGGCATGGACACGTGGCGACTGCAGAGGCATCAGTAAGGGTGTGAGTGATATGTTCACTTTCCCAGCCCCAGCACCCCACAGCACTTTCCTAGTAAGCACCTCAGAACTTCAGTAAAAGTAGGGATGCCGGCGTATTTCATGCCATTGTTGGACCATGGAAACCACCTGCCCTTGTATAAGTAGTGAACCAGGCTAGACTGTCCTGTCCAGACCAGTGCTGGCTGTGACTGTTAGCACTCAGGCCAGCACAACATGTTGTACTGAGGAGAGTCCCATAAGCCCTGTGGGCTGGGGTGGGGGGTGTCAGAGATGACTTGCTCACCCTGGGAGATGGAGCTGGGGACCTTAGTTGGGCTCATTTTGTGAGCCTTGGTCCTTGACTATCTCTGAGGAAGGCTGATGGAGAGGAAGGATGTGACTTGAGTGTGCCTAGAAGTGTTTCGGAACAAAAGTCACATGGGTCCCGGCTTGGGACTTGGCTTCAACTGACCTAAAGGGCATTCTGAATCAGTGGATATACTTCAGTGTGGATTGCCTATGTTGAGGCAGGATAGAAAGTCAGAGAAAAGACAGAGAAAGACAGAGGACATGAGAAAAGGAATGAGTTCCTTGACCCTGGGTTTTGTTTAAGAATTACAAAAATCGACTGACCCTGCAAAGAACAATACTCCTTTATCCAGGAGAGAATGAAACCCTGTGGAGACAGCTTAAAGCTGAAATGTCTGTGATTTTTGAGCTCAGCCTTGTTGTTCTCCCCAGAAACCACTTTTCTGAATAAGTCTCACAAACGAAATAATCCATGATTATTGTCAAAATCTACGCCTAGATGTCCTAATGGACTATTGGTAGAAATTCCTGTATAGACCTACAAGTGTATCCCAGAGCACCTTGAGATCTCATGTATTAACGTAAAATCCCATAGAGAAAAACAAAGACAGCCTTTGGATGGTGTAACTGTCCATAGTCATGTATATATAGCACTGGGTCCTCTGGAAGAACAGTCAGTGCTCTTAACCGCTGAGCCATCTCTCCAGTCCTTGGTTAAGACACTGCTCGATTCTGCCTTTAGAAGCCTGTACTTCATCCTGAGTGTGTACTCCATTTCGGAAGCATCTCTCTCAACACTCATTGAGTTCTGTGAACAACTGGACCTCCCCAGCCTGGGCTCTGGGTGTTGGGAGACAGAAAGAAGCTACCTAGAGACAATTTTAACCTAGTGCTGCCACCATTAGTACGGTTTTATAGATCTTATAAATAATGGAAACTATTGAGACATTTGTTGTGAAGGACGAATTTGCATTAACATTCTTGCCTTCTTCTTTCATACACGTAGAGAAGACTAAATGTATTTGGCTCCGTTAATAAGCTTGCTGCCTTTGCCACATTAAACATGATGGGTGGTGGCCTGGGGAGATGGGTTAGTTCACAAAGTGCTTGCCTTGCAAGTGTGAGGCATGACTTCAGATCCTCGTAGAAGCTTGGTGGCATGCACTTACAACCCCAGCAGTGGACTGAGGGAGGGCAGAGACAGGATGACTCCTCCAAGCCCGAGAGCCAGTTTCACCTACATGGCAAATATAGCATGAATAATAAAAACCCAGAGACAGATATTGGGGTTCACGCTGAAGATCAGAAAAGCAAAGTTGCCAGCCGCTGAGCTCTCACCTCTATTCAGGCTGGGACAATCCTATCTTCAGTGTGGCTGGAGACTGAATACTGTACGATACCCTGAGTTCCCACCTTACATGCCTTTCTAGTGCTGGGATTAAAGGCATGCACGCCCCCCCAGCCTCTGTGGCTAACTAGTGTGGCTGCTGGGATTAAAGGTGTATACCACTACTGCCTGGCCTCTATGGCTGTGGCTAGCTTTGCATTCTGATCTTTAGGCTGGTTTTATTAGATCATAAACAATATATCACTACAGACAAAGTTCCAGGCTAATGAGAGATCTTGTCTGACGCTGACCTCTGACCTCCACTTGACTGTACACCCATGTGCGTACATGCGTGCATGCCTATACAAATGCACACACCCACACCCACTAAAATGATACAATCATGGCTCTAAGCTTTGAAAGATGGAAACTCGGCAAACTTGCCACCAATTATGGTGACTGATAAGTCACCGTTTCTAAGTTTTCTCCATTCAAGTTACTACTTGTGTGTGTAATTAAAACTCCTGTGACTCGTGGGAAAGAGAGACCGACTTGGCAAGAAGTGAAAGTGGTCGTCTGTGTTTGATAAGGGAAGCCACAAGAAGTAAAGGTGGATCTTTGTTAAAAAAGAAGAAAGTCATCGTGTCATAAATAGTTTTAAAGTTATTTAATAAAGAAGAAAAAAAAGGAACAAAAAGCCTAAACGGGCAGGGTAAGGTGTGAAGGGTCTATGAGAAAAAGAAGAGAAATCCAATCTCGCGTGGCCGTGCTGGGTAAATGGACGGCCATTGTCAGGTTTTGAAATGAGCTCCGGTATGAGGCGTGCGGCCATGCGGAACGGTCTCTGCTGCTCTCTCTGCTGAAAGGGCAGACTCCTTGGACTATTGGTCTCCTCTTCATAAGCGACTGTAAGTGTTTTCTTTGCCTGTTGGGTAACCTCCCTTGTAGACAAAGGCTCCGTTCTTACCAAAATAATTTCCTGTGCTTCGTGTTGTCCTTTCAAACTTTTTATTACTTAAGAAAGTGGAACCCTCTCAATATTGAGAGAGTGAAGGTTGGTTTTCCCCTCCCCTTTAATCACTATCTCCCTCCTCTATTTCCCTTGAAAATCGTTGTCATTTTGGTTTGCTGGGAAGCTAAGTACTGTTTCATAGTAGCCCGTGATCTCAGTCAACTCCTCAACACGTTTGACAGTTTTTGACACCTCTGAGTTAAATTCTAAATGCAGTCTTTCTGACCTCAAGCTAACTTTGAAATTTCCCAGAGGCCCCTGGAAAGTCTCCGGGGATTTGTTCTGTCATCGTGTGAAAGACAGATCTTAAGCTAATTAACTTACTTGTGATGTGAAATCATAGGGGAAAGCTTTGTGGAGTAAGCAGCGTTGAAGCCTTTGTATCACACCTTGGTGAAGGTATGTCAGGTGCCAGAAGCCGAGATCCCCAGAGATTTGCCTTGTCTTTACTAGACATCATAGGTCCCCAGACAGTGTGATCGGTCATCATTATTGCACTTACTGACATAAGACCCTGTAGGCCTCGAGAGTGACCACCTCTCCCTGATGATCTCGGAATGGTGGGCTCGTGGCAGGTTTTAGAGCCTGGGCTCTTTGCAGACAATTCCTGTTTTTTTCTCGGATGCTTTTCTGAAAGCAGGTGTAGTCGGCTAGAGTCCAAGCTTGTCGGCAAGGAATTGCAGGACGCTCAGACCAAGAGAGTAGACTTAGACTGCCGGTGGCTCCAACATTGCCTGCTAGGCTCCTGAAACCTCCCTGGATGCAGGAAGGAGCAGATGCGTCTCTGAAGCGTACAGACTGTGGCCTGGTGGAGCAGGGCCAAGGGGCTATGGTTTCAGAGCCTTCGCCTGAAGCTCTGCACATTCAAAGGCAGTTGTCCACTAACTCGGAGCAGCTCCGAAATTATCCTTGTTTTGATTTTTGTTTTTGGAAGTAGTGTCTCTTCATAGCCCTCTGTCCTGGGGCTCACTGTGTAGACCAGACTGGTCTCGAACTCACAGAGATCCACCTGCCTCTGCCTCCTGAGTGCTGAGATTAAGGATGTGCGCCACCACACGCAGTCTGAAATTGTACTTTTTCAAGTGTATATTTTTTAGTTATTTTACTTATTTGTATGTGGGTGATTGTGTGAATTGTGTGTGTGTGCACGCATGTGTGTGCCTATGTAAATCAGAAGAGGGTTTTGGATCCTCTGGAGCTACACTTACGGGTGATTGTGAGCCACTCAACATGGGTGCTGGGAAGCAAAGTCTACTCCTCCGTAAGAGCAGCAAGCACCCTTAACTCCTCAGCCGTCTGTCCTGCCCTTCTTAATTACACTTTCACAAAAAACAATTCTCTCCATTTGATCCCTCCAAAATCTCTATCAACAATTATTTTATAACCATGTAAGTATTTGCATGACTTCAATAAGATGATTATTATTTCCTTTAGGAAAGTAGCTTGTTTATTTTATTTTGCAAGTAGGCATGTCTATGAACCACTTGCATGCTTGGTATCATCGGAGGCTATAAGAGGGTCTCAGATCCCCTGAGAGTGGAGTTGCAGACAGTTGTGAGCTGCCATGTGGGTGCTGGGAATTGAACCAGGATCCTTGGAAGAGCAGCCAGTGTTCTTAACTCCTCAGCCATCTCTCCAACCCCATGATGTTCTTGGGCCAGGATAGTTCAACTGGCAAAGTGTTTGCTGTGGAAACATGAGGATCTGAGTTCAGATCCCCAGGACCCACATAGAAATCAGGGTGGGGTGGCGCGTGCCTGTAATCCCAGAGCTGGGGAGGTAGAGTACCCTTAGGTCAGCCAGCAAGGAATCCTAGCAACTTCCGTCCATCACTCTGCCTAGTCCTAGGCTGTGGCTCGTCTTGTTCTTCCTGGGACATGGACCTCACGTGTGAACCTTCACTGTGCTATCCACCCTGACTAACGTAGTCCTAGTTGGCCTCAAACTCACAGAGATCTACCTGCCTCTGCCCCTGCCTCCCAGTGCTGGGACTAAAGGCATATACAACCACATCTCACCACCATTAACAAATACCAGGAATACTGTATCTTTCACTGGTATTGGGTGCAAGAAAAGATCTTGTTAACTTAGTGTGACAAGGACATGATGGGCATGTTAAAAATAGGTTTTGCCCACTTCATAGACAGTCATAAGATATTGGGACAGTGCTAATTGTTCCCCCAAAAGAAGGACATGTGTGTGTGTGTGTGTGTGTGTGTGTGCACGCATACACATGCACATTTGGTATGTACAGGTATGAATGTATGTGTACATGTGTATGTGTGTGTCTATACATGTATGTGTGTGGTTCATGTATACACATATGTGTATAAAAGCTAGCTGGGGAACGAGAAGTTATTAAAACTGAGGATGGACGCATGGAAGATTGTGATATTATTCCTCTATCTTGGGATAAGTTAGGACAGTTCCATCAGGCTAATAAACGACACATGAGTATAATGTATTTAGCTGTTCCATGACAGTCCTGTCGGAAGGCATTCCCAGACGGAAAACCTTCCGATTCCCTCCGTCCCTCAAGCCCCAGTGAAGGAAGAGGAAGAGGCTGCTCCCACGGCATCCGGGCCGAGGTTTCCGTCCGCTCACCTCCATTGACCCTACCTGAAGTTGCGTTGATTGGCTGTAGCTGAGTCCCTCTCCAGCAGCACAGCAGGAAGACAGACACGAAGGTCTCCACTCCCCTATTCGCTGCCATGGTCCCTCGAGTCACCGGAGGAGGCCCTTCCCTGGAAGGTCTTCTGCTTCCCCAGCCTCGGTCTCCTGGATATGCAGAATGTCCAGGACCTGTGACATCACCTCCAGGAATTCTTTCCCCATTGCAGTGTATGCCCTATGTCACAGACTTGTGACAGCATGGTTAGGAAGTGAACTAGGGTTCTGCCCCGTGTGGGCTTCATCTCCCTGTATGGTGCTATTGGCCCATTCACAACCCTAAACACTCCTTGTGGGCCCTCCCTGTGCGTTTTCATAACCTTGTTTCTCACTGTGGCCTCCCAGGAGCCGACCCATGGCCCAGCACAGCTCATAGAACCGAGGGGCAGGGAACTGACCTGGTTACATGAGGCCAACAGTGCCTTCCAGATCCAGTGGGGACCCTAGGGCACTGGCCACCAGTAACCCTCCGCTCTTTGTTGTTGGTATAGGGAGTTGGTGGTGTGTGAGGCTTTCTTGGTAGACGTAACTAATCAGTCTCAGAGAACGAGACATCCAACTTTCGTGGTATCCATAAAGACACAGAGCACTGTGGACCGCACGGATGTCATGATTTGATCCCTGTGAGCTAATAAAGGGTTTGAATAGGATCCAGACATGTGGCCACAGCTCTCCAGGCTGTGACTCAGTTGAGTGACTGAAGACGGAGAGACATGGCCAGAGGACATGCTGGGTCGGTGGTGTAGCTGTGACTTCCTACCTGTACGACTGTTTAGGAAGTCAAATGTCAGATGCTGGTGTGGTGGTAGGTCCTCTACGCGGGCCTGGCAGCACTTAGGACCAGGGCTAACTGAGAAGATTCACTCCAGCAGGCAGTCTTTGAAGTCATCCCGAAACCTGGTCTCCTAAAACAACTGATAGGTACTGTCATCTGTAACTCTGTGGGTTATCTCTGCAGGGCTGAACTGTCCTGTGGCCCAGCGTGGCTCATGCCTCTGACCTGCTGTGACCTGGTTCTTGCCCCATCCTGGTTCACTGAGCTTGGTCACTACTGGGGAGATAGCACACCCACTAGAGACAAGCCCTTCCTGTGTCACACTTGCTGACCCACGGGCCACACAAGTCATCAGCTTTGCCAGACTCAAGAAAACCACACAGAGAGGGTGTCTGGGCTGCTCAGGCCACAGAGCTCTTGCTGCCTGTTTGCAGAGGTGCTGGATTCACTGGGAGGGGGCAGTCAGGGTATCAGTTACCTCCTGGGATTCCAGTTTAAAGACTAGTTCCCCCAAATGTTCCTCTGATCTTTGCTACCCTTTAGCAAGAATTTTATACATGAGTGTTTTTGAGACATATTAAACAAAGAGGGAATTCAGAATACTGATCTGTTGACACCCATTTCATTGAAAGTAGACTTTAACTCACATCTGGTTTGGGACAAAGTGGATACCCATTCCTGCTGTACCCTTGGTGGAGGAACAGCCATGAGTCCCAGGCATTTGGTTCCTGCATCTCCTGTGATGGAGAAAGAGGCAAATAGTGTTTTTAAAAATATCTATAATTAAAAAAATAGTGGGGGCTTTAAAGATGCCTCAGCAGTTAAGAGCACTGACTGCTCTTCTAGAGGACCCTGGTTCAATTCACGGCATCCACATGATGGCTCACAACTGTCTATAACTCCAGTTCCAGGGGACCTAACACCCTCACACAAACATACATGCAGGCAAAACACCAATACATATACAATAAAAATAAATAATAAATAATTTAGAGATAGGGCCTCATGTATCCCATGCTGACCTTGAACTCAGTATGTAGCCAAGAATGACTAAACTCCCAATCCTCCTGCCTCTGCCTCCAAATGCTGGACTCACAGGAGTGGGCTGCCATGCCCATTTTATTGCTTGTTTTAAATATGTATGGGTGTTTTGCATACATGAATATATGTGCACCACAGAAGATGGTGTTAAGTCCCTGGAACTGGAGTTGCAGACTGTTTCTCGCCATCACGTGGGTTCTGAGAACTGAACCCGGATACTCTGGACAAGCAGCCAGTGCTCTCAGCCATTGAATCATCTCTCTAGCCCCATGGGTCCTTTTAAGTGATCAGGATTTCTCTTACCATAGAGAATTCAAGCAAAAAACCACAGATATGACAGTTTAGAAAATATCCCAGATACCCAGCTCAGCCTAGACACAGGGGTGTGAGGATAGACTTGGTCTTGCCTCAGACCTAAGTCTGATAGGAGAGACTTAGACTTCCTAGGGGAGGCCTTACCCTCTCTGTGGAGGGAGAGGGGGAGTGGGGAGAATGGGAGGAGAGGATTGGGGAATGGGGATTGGAATGTAAAAAATGAATTAAGAAATAAGGAGAAAATACCCCAGTTCCTGCTTCAGGTCATGACCTGTGGATATGTAGCCAGCATCCTTGCAGAGAGCCCTGGGTACCCCAGCCTGCCTCCTGATTCTCTCTGCATTCTGAAGCCTGCTTAGGCTCATTTTGTGCACAGCTCCTGTGGAGAAGAGCAGAGTAGACTTCTGCCCCAGTTTCCCTCCTGTAGAAGTTCTTCCTGTGCTGGGTGGTGGTGGCGCCTACCTTTAATCCCAGCACTCTGGAGGCAGAGGCAGGTGGATCCATGAGTTCCAGGCCAGCCGGGTCTACAGAGCGAGTGTCAGAACAGTCTCGAAAGCTACACAGAGAAACCCTGTCTTGGAGGAAAAAAGAAAGAAGTCCCTTCCTGCTTAGGGATGCTCCTGGGAGAGATGCCTCAAGTCTAATTGCACTCTGGAAAGGCTGTGTTCACTGTGGTCAAGGCCCCTGAGTGGTCGGATTGCATGATTTACTTCCTGGCTCAGTCACTTACCAGTTAGTGGTCTGGACATGTTGCTTGTTCTGAGTCTCACTGTCCTTGTCTTCCAGTCACCATTGGGTGAGTCACGGTTTCTTCCTAACACAGGCAGAGGCCTCAGAAGCTCAGTATTGAGAACAGTGGGCCTCTCTTTGCCTCTGTAGGCTCTGCCTCTGTGGGGCTCCGTGGGACAGTCTGGATCAGAGCTGGGCTCAGTTATTCTCATGCACTCTGACCGCTGTCACCTCTCAGCTGGGGTGACACGGATGACCTGTTTCTCAAGGTTGGTTCTGGTACAGTCTCACGACCTTGGGAGCCAGGCCCAAAGCCCAGCAGGGTCTCTCTGCCTTCTCCGTGCCCCTTTGTGAATGGAAGGAGAGGGACCACCCTCCACACCGTGGGCCCTCAGGTCACAGACTCCCAACCGAAGATCCTTCTCAAAGCCTCTTTGTGTTGTTTTCACTTATGAAAATATCCTACAGACCCATAATTTGGCAATATACATACAACCAATTGTTTTAAAAACAGAAGTGATGCCGGCTATTATAATGTAAACTGTTTTCTAAATGAAACAATTAAAGGAATGTAATTGGAGAAGTATACAAACAGTGGTTAAGACTCTGCTTCTGGGAAGACATATTACAACTTATAATCTTCCTCTATGGGTGTGCGTTGTCGGTGTCTAATCAGGCATGTGAATGGATTCAGGTGTTCCGTCCTATTAGCTGGAAATTGCTCTGTTATTTGCTGAGCTGTTTGTGTTACATTGTTACTGACTCCGAGTTTCTCTCTGTCTGGAGCTCCTTCCTTTGGTCCCTGCAATCTATATAATTGTCTTCCTCACTTTTGTCTTTAGAAAGCTTTAAATAGAGCTCCCTGGATGATGTGTGGTGTCAGAGAGAGAGAGTTCTGGAGGCCTTACAGAAGAAGCCTAGAGCTACGGGGCTGTCACAGAGATGCTGCCGAAGGCAGAAAGGACCAGTTCCGTCTCATGGGTCACGGTGGGCCTGTGACCAGCAGCCTATTCCCTCTAGAAAGGGCCACAGGAGAGTCTCTGCAGACTTCAGCTGACCACTATTGCTTTCTCTTCCAAGGATTCTTGTCCTGAGGGGTTGATGAGAGAAACACCAAGGGAGCTTGATTTTTCTGGGGAAGCAACAGGAAAGGTTCGCTGAGTAAGGAAAGCCTTCAAGGCCTTTCTGGATTCATTCATTCATTCACTCACTCACTCACTCACTCACTCACTCACTCACTCACTATCCTCTTTCACTCCTGGAGTATGCTTCCTGGCAGACTCAGAGCTCCTCCAATGGTATTCCTGGACATTAGACTAGCGGTCAGTTTCTCCCCAATTCAATGTCACCCAACGCATGCTGTAACAGACAGCCAGGGTCACCCGTGTAGGAGCCGCTCCAGACACAAAGCCCAGGAACCTGGCAAGTATGCTCACGGAGGTCAGGTCCACCCTTTTGAATTCAAATAAGGAATACAGCAGTACTGTAAGAAAGAATTTTGGCAAAGTCAAATGCAGTCACTACCTGGATACATCTCCAGCTGACATGAGATAGTGCCATTGCTGTGGGGTCATTAGAATGTCCTTATAGAAGCTATGGATCCTGAGGCCACGTAGTCTCCTGTCACCATTGTCATGTCCACAGCCTGGCCTTGACCAAAGCACAGAGATGGCTCCTGGGTGTGCAGGAGCAGCTGTGCAAGTGGGGTTCTGCTAGAGAACTTAGTGATGACTGGGAAGCTGGGAGGGCGGGAGATCAGCGGAGATAAAACTGTCGGAGACAAAACTACTCAGGGCTGGGGACATGGCTCATTTGGTAAAGTGCTTGCTCCTCATGAGGACCTGAGTTCCAGCCCCAGAGCCCATCTTAAAAGCAATAGGCAAACCTGGATGTTGTGGCTGATACCTGTAATCCCAGCACTCGGGAAGAGGCAGAGACAGGGGGGTCGCTGGGGTTCACTGACCAGTCATCCTGGCCTCTCTGGTGAGAGGCACCTACTCAAAAAACAACAGACAAACTAAACAGTGGACGGGGCCTGAGGAATGGCATGGACATTTGAGGCTGTGCTCTGGCTTACAGTACATACACAAATGCACACACATATCAACGAGTGCATGCGCACGCTCGCACGCGTGTGCACACACACACACACATGTTTATTCAAACAACTGGTTATTTGTAAAATAGTACTGTAGAGAAGGGTTCTATTGGCAGAGCTTGAATTCAGTTTTCTTGTATGTATTTATATGTGTGCATTTGTGTGCGTGTGCATGTGTGCAAGTGTATATGTGTGTATCCTTGTGTGTGCATGTGTGTATGCATGTGTGTGTATGTGTGTGCATACCTGAGTATGTGGAAGCCAGAGACTGACACCAGATGTTCTAGTTACTCTCTACCTTCTTTGTATGAGACAGGGTCTCTTAGAGCCAGATAGACCAGAGAACCCCAGAAATATTTTATCCCCATCTTCCCAGTGCTGGGACTATAGAGGAGTGTCATGGGGACTTTTACTGTGGCACTATAGAGGATGCCACGGAGACTTTTACTGTGGCACTATAGAGGATGCTACGGAGACTTTTACTGTGGGACTATACAGGAGTGCCACGGAGACTTTTACTGCGGGACCTGAACTCACATCCTCATGCTTTTGCTGCGAGGACTTAGCTGACCGAGCCATCTCCCCAGCTCCCAGTTTTCTTTTTTAAAGACCATCATTAACTGGAAGGACAGAGTTCGAGAGACTGCTTGCTCACGTAGCTCTAGTTGGGAGAGCTTCAGCACCACTCCCTTAGGCCTGCAGCTGAGGGGCACAGGACTGAAACACACTGCATCCTCAGGTGTCCTCTGGGGGGTATAGCATCTACTCACAGTGTCAGGCCTCCAGTTATTGGCACTAACAGTGACTAAGGGTTAAGACTGGAAGGCAGAGGACATGGCTCAGTGGATAATTCAGGGGTCTGAATTTGGTCCACCAGAGCCTACATTAAAAAGCTGAGCATGGTGGTATGTGCTTGTAATCTCAAGGCTGGTGAGATTAGGGACAGGTGGATCCCTGGGACTT